TAGACTGGATATAGCATTCAGTGTTCAACACTTGAGCCAATTCATGCAAGATCCTAGAACTTCACATTTACAGGCAGCATTTCATCTTCTTAGGTACTTGAAACAAGATCCAACTCTAGGCCTTCATCTATCCAAAGATTCTGATTGCTCAATCAAAGCATATTGTGATTCAGACTGGGCATCTTGTCCAGACTCAAGAAGATCAGTTAGTGGATACTTGGTTTTACTTGGGAACAGTCCAATCAGCTGGAAATCAAAGAAACAAGAAACCATCTCATTATCCTCTGCAGAAGCAGAATATAGATCCATCAGGAAGGTAGTAGGTGAGTTGGTTTGGCTTCACAGGTTGACAAAAGAGTTAACTATATCTGATTCTTCACCTATTCCTGTCTTTTGTGATAGTCAGTCTGCCATCCACATAGCTCACAATCCTGTTTCCATGAGAGAACCAAGCATATTGAAGTCGATTGTCACTTTGTACGCAGCAAACTTCAGGAGGGGCTCATTTCACTACATCACATTTCTACCACTGAGCAGCTAGCAGATAACTCACAAAGGCCCTCACTGGAGTTAAACATTCAGCATTACTCAACAAGTTGGCTGTAAGATCATCACTACCAACTTGAGGAGGGGTATTAACAATATAATTATGATTAGTTTGTTAGTTATGTTAGTTATGTTAGTTAGAGTGTTAGTTAGATGTCACATCAAGTTAGTTCGAATTTTTGAAAGTTAGTTAGTCACACATTTTACATTTCATATCTTTTGTATTTGTTGAGTATAGGACTACAATTCTCTTGTATATATATGTGAGAATCAATACAGGAAGATCAGTATTCATCTTCTACAAATCAACATATGCGATGCCTTCTTCTTCTTCTTCTTCTTCTTCTTCTTCTTAAATCGATTGTTATGGTTACATTCTGTTTTGGTGTAAATCACCATTGTTGATCAGCTTAACAGATATTATAAAAAATAGATATAGTGTGAAATTAGTATTAAAAACTAGGAGATTTACATCATAAGACGGATCAAATAAATAGCTTATTTGTCGAAGAGATCCTCGCAATAATAAGAATATTTAGCGGTGGTTATTCATTCAAAATAATAAAATAGAATTATTGATGTCATGACATTCCTCTATGCTTGCTAACTGTGTGTTGTATATAATATACTGTATCCCTCCAATTTCAATCGTTATAATTTCTATTTTTAGTGTCAATTAATAATGACTTTAATTATTATTTTATGATTTTTTTATTATATTAATATATAAAAAAATTAAAATTTATGGTACTTTTTGTTTGAGGCGAATCCAAAATTAAGAATTAGGGGTTTTAAATTTCATTAATAATCGTCAAGCAATTTTGTTAGAAATTCGCAAACTAATAAACACATATATTCAATTAATTTTCTAGTACAAATATAAAATCTATAGAAAAGTTACTGAGTTCGTCCGAATCCATAACCCCCATCTAATTATGCATCTGCTTTTCATATAATTTTTAAATATTTTTTATTTAAAATATTAAATTACTATAATTTAATTTAACATTACAAATTAATCAAACTAGCACAAAATAACAATTAAAATGGAAAAAAGTATAATTATTACTGTTGATATAAAATTGACAATTGTTATCAAATGTTACTCTAAACTATAAAACAGCCGTTTTCCATTTCTAAATAATATAAATAAATAAATATATTTTAATACTTGTTCCAATAGTTCATTTTAAATAGATTTTAATACTTGTTCCAATCGTTCATTTTTTATATATTTTAGTCTAGTGTGAATAGAATCTGATTTTGGCCAAGTCTAAGCATGATTCAACGCGTTTTGAATAATTTTATTTCTGTAATAAAAATAATAATAAATTTGTATGACACATTTCCACATAAATTACATCCACGTAATCATATTTTTATTTTTAATTTATATTCACGCAATCAACTACTTTTGTTTTCGCAACAAAGTTTATATATTCGGTTTATAATACTAAACACTCACTATAAATAATGTATCAACTTTTTTTAATGCAAAAGGTATATATATAATAACGTATGAGGGGTGATTTTTACTATATTATATAAAATTATGTAAAGGTTGAGTTTTGTTTCCTACGAATTTCAAAAATTTCATTTAAAATGAATCAAATTTCATTGAATAATGTTATTTGTCAAAAAATTTAATATATTATAAAATTTGTTTGTTGTTATCAAGCTTTTAAAAACCTTAGCAAGTTTTTAGTTTTTCACTTCAATTTTCAATTTTTCATCCAACAATGTTCCAATCTGTGGTGATAAACATGAATACTACTCTGAAATTTGATTTTTTTTAAGCATTAAAAAATAACTGAAAATCATAAACATAATTTTTTTTTTACATGGATTATCCCTATTTTGGAATAGGTTTTTTATTCTATGCCTCTTTAGATTGTGATCTTTCATTTTCATCTCTATTTTCGTTACGAGGACTAAAACATCCTTACCTATAACTTATTTGGAATGCCAACTTTTAAAAAACTTTTGTTTTGAAACATAATTTTTGTTATCAAACTTATGTTCTATGGTTTATAACTTGTATTTTTTACACGAAAAATTAAAGGGTAATCCAAAATAAAGTCATTTATGCCAATGACCCAAATTTCTTCTTCCTTATTTAATTGGTAAAATGACATTTGTTATGTGTTTATAGAAAATGACAAAACCATGATGTCTAGGTAACAAAATTGATTACAATTTCTGTGATATGGACAACACAATCTTGTCTTGACAAGAAACCATATAAAATCATTATTATTAAACTAATATAATCAATTGGCCATCCATTAGTTGAAAATCCCCTCCTCCTCTCTATCTATTCAACTCCAATCTCATCTCATCAAATGATTATGACCGTTAACTAATTATCTACACTTGGGATCATGATTTGTATTCACATAAGTTCAAAGTTTATATTTATATATATATATATATTGCTAAATAAGTATATTGTAAAGTGGAAAGGGCTAACTTTTCATCCTACATGGGACATGCCACCAAAAATTGTGAGTTATCTTAATTTAAATTCACTTGTTGCTTAAGGCTAATCTAGTCTAATCCTAAAAGAAGCATACTATTTGGTGGTGCATTTACTCTAAAAGGGTATTCAAGCTGATTAGCATCAAACTTAATTTTAGAAAAAGATATCATAGTTTTTATGACCCGTTTAGATACGCAATATAAATGATATACAATTGACGTTTTGTTTTGATATGTAATTTATATTTTTAAAGTTTCATTTTTTTCATAAACATGAAAATTTTGGAAGTTATGAACACTGTATAAAAAAATTCCAATTCTTATACAATCTTAGCAAATGTGCAAAATACAATTTATAAATAAGATATCACAATATCTTTACAAGCGTCACACTGATAAATTGCATATCTCAATATTTCTTTTATAAATAAATGTTTGAGATTACAAACATGAGTATTTGTTTTGTAAAATTTGGAGAAAAGTATTAAAAACACCCCTAAACTCGGCACAAATTAATACTTTCATCTCCGAATTATTGACTGCCTTAAAAACACTCATTTACTTGACTAATTAACATAAATACATCCCATCTCGCAACATGAGTGAAATACAATCCTAAATTCTCATCAAATTTTGGGGTGTTCTCAACACTTCTATGATTTTTATTTAAGAGCCAATGTTGCTACAAAAATTTAAGACCACTTGCTATACCATGTGGCAGATCGGGGGTCTATGTAAGTTTAGTTAGTCAAATAGATGAATGGTTTTTAAGAATGTCATAGCCTAGTGCCAAAATAACAAGTTCAGGGTGTTTTCAGTACTTCTCTCTAAAATTGAGTTTGACTTTTTTTTTTAGATTATGAAATATGAAATCATGATTTCAGATTGCATGTTCAAGCTAACACAAGCTTAATATAGAAATAACAACTAATTACTATAAATTGATTTTATCGAACTACTCATTATAACTATTCCTTTCATTTTATATTACTTGACTTATGTGACTTAGCACATCTCTTACGAAAACGTTAAGTAAAAGTTATTTTACTTGTTCGACTTTATAAAATTTTAGAAGTCAACGGAGAAAACAATGGTTTAACATTGTATTTGGTGCCAACAAGGATAGGAAGTCTTAATACTCTCTCTGATTTATATTACTTATATTAAAAGAAATAATTAAATATATATTTTACTAAACTAACTTTAACAATGATTCTTTTGAACTCTTAATTTGGTTATTACTATTTTATCCAGTTATTTAATATAAATACAGTATAAAATATTTATATTTGATGTAAAGATCGAGTAAAATGAAACGGAGAGAATAGTAAGAAGATGTTTGATGAAGCTACCCTATACTTAATAAGCTTTGAAAGTCTAAAAATGTGACTTCATAATTTTGGAGCATGTGAATAATCAAAACCCCCTACTAAGTAAATTTAGTGATCTGTTTTTAGCCAAAAAAAAAAAAAAGCAAATAAATATGAAAGGAAGGGAGTTGAAGTTCTTTTTTTTTTCTCTTTAAATGTAGCCTCTAGACAGATTTTCTTCTAGGGAACAAGAATTGACATTTAGGAATTAAAATATGTTAATCTTGCCCCAAAAACCAATTAGCCCAGCCAGTATCTGACATCAGTTGAAAGTGATTTCCCACTGTTTGCTGTCCTATTTTTCAAATATATTGTCACCTAGATTCATACAATAAACTTTGGTTATCCTCACTGTATTATATTTTACAAGGGTACTAAACAATTCATACTTCAAAAAATGTTTAAATTAAACAATTGCAAGAATGTTTCACTGTTGCTATGAGCATCCTTAACACATAGAACAACACGCGAACATACTACTCCCATTTGATTTGATACAGAGTTTAAAACTTGTGATCTAAAATATGTCTGTATAGAGATTTGTGGTTCTTTTTGGAACTGGAGATGATTTTGATTTATACCAAACAAGTAAGTAAAAGAAGAGAATTTGTGTTGTTGCCAAGTCAATTTTCTTCTATCAATCTCTAATTGAAGTATGAAATACAATATTTGTCTGCAGTGTATGCTAGAAAAGCAACATTTTCATCCGTTTGCACACTAACTTAACTTAAGAAAAACAAATGTGAAAATATAAGTAATAACTTGAAAGAATTACATGAATCAAAGTTTTCCCTCCTTTGATTGTATTAAAGGAGAGAAGTACCAGCATGGTTATGGTGTAGAAGATTATGAGCAATAGCATCCCTTGCAAGCCTAGCATTGGTCGATCTCAATTGAATCTCTGGAAGCATTTCATCATCAATGAGCTCGAAATTGAGTTCTGGATCCATCTCCTCATTCCTCATCTGGCAAATATTATGCAAGACGCAGCACGCCCCTAGCACCACTGGCAAATCTTGTAGTTTCACCTCTGTTCTTTTCTGCAAACAAGACCATCTCCTTTTCAACCTTACAAACGCCTCCTTTGCCACCCGTTGAACCTCACCAATCTTCTCATTGAAAGCATGTTGAGTCCAAGTTAGCTGCTGCTGTGTATAAGGCACTAAAACCCAATCCATTAAAGGGTATCCAGAACTACCAACAATCCAAACGTTGTTCAGTAACCCTGTATTCGCCCTCTGGAAAAGGGCGGATTTCTCCAGTACCTGATCATCAGGCATCGAACCAGGCCAACCGATACACACATCAGTAAACACCCCTCTTGGATCAACAACCCCTTGAACTGTAATCGAATACGAAGTCTTCTGATTCCTCTCTGTATGCCTCTTATTGAAATAAGCTGCAACGCTAATTTTCGGAGCAATTATAGGTATATGAGTTGTATACATTGATCCCACAACATTTGTGATCCCTGACATATCCTCATACTCATCCTTTATATCCCTCATTTTCTTCTCATCAGGCCATTGAAGATACTTAGGCATCAACACAGTTCGAATCGCAGTACAAACCTCTAGCACAAGCTTATGGCAAGTCGAAATCCCCAATCCAAATCTCTTGGATACCAATCTCAGAGGCTCTCCAGTAGCCAATCTCCATATACAAACAGCAACACGCTGCTTCACAGGTACAGCATCTCTTAGCATAGTATTCTCTTTCGCAACCACAGAAGTCAATTCATTACATATCAATTCAAATGTATCTTTCCCCATCCGAAACGCTTTCTTAAACTCCTCTTCAGGGAAATCAGGACTGTTACATTGATCCCACCAAGCTTTTGACCTATTCTTCACCCACAATCGCCTATGAGGCGCACCTTTATCGGTAGATTTATTACTGGAAACCCCTTCTTCCTCTGCAGCTGCAGAAGCAAGGGCACAAGCAGTAGCAGTAAGAGCAGCAGAATTCCCTCTCCCTTTCCTCTTTCGAACACCATCTAACTGTTCTAAATCAGAATGATGCTGTTGAACATTGGAATAATAATCCCACATCACTTTCGTTGTTTTCTTATGATTGGCTTCGAGTAAGTGTTTATCCTCTTCCTCTTCCTTTGCAAATTCCGATTTTTCTTGCTCTTCAAGTAACAACAAAGAGGTTAATATCTGTTTCAACTCCTTCGTTTTGACAGCCCCTTGATTTTCCGACCCAAATTCATCATTACCACCACCACCTGCGCTACTATTAGTTGGGGTTTGTTGTACGATTTCTTTCCTCCTTCTACGGCGTTTATTGGGTAGATGATTCATGATACAAGAAATTGAAGAATTTTCTTCTGGGAAACAAGGTTCATTCATATATATATGGGATAAAATGTGGTGTGAACGCATAGAGACTTTGGGCCTGTTGAAAATACTACTCTATATATATATATGTGAGTAGAAACACAATTCATTAATTAACGAATGAATGAAGAAAAAACGTGTGTGAACGCGGTTTTGATTTTGGATGATTTGAAGGAAGTTTCGAGGGGGCAAGAAAACCGATTTTGGCTTTGAGACCTAAAAAGATAAGAGCTAATAGGTAGGTGATAAAAGACGGTGATTTGGGACTTTACAATGACATTTTTTCTTTACCAACATACAAATCTTTTGACAAACATGCTTTCTTTTCTTTTTTTTTTAATATATATAACTTCTCGATTTATATTAATTGATTATTTTATAATATAATTTTATTTTTTTATAAATAAATATTTTAATATTTTTAAGATAACATATGAAAGTTTTTATTAATTGATGAATATTAATTTGAAATAATTTTTTTTAAAAAATAATTAATTGAAATAAGACGAAGAATAAACTATCTGAACTCATAATTTAGAGTTAAAGTTATAGGTGAGTGTTTAGTATGTCAATCTATTTAAGTTATTTTATGAAGTTTCTTGCTTTCACATTGTGTTTAATGTTTACCCTTCGATCCCTCTCTTGTCTTGAGTTGTTTTATTTGATTTTTTAAAATTAAATTAATGTAATACCGTGGATATCTTGACCATTTTGCTCTAGGATCTATACTAATTTAGTAGTTTACTAGTTACTTCATTTTTAAGTAATATATTTGTATCTGATTTATATATATATTAAGAAAATAATTAATATAGTTATTTGATCATGGTACTTTTATTAATTGAAATTTTCCTATTTGATATTAGGTCTTGTAAATAATAATTAAAGCTAAAAAATATGAAAAAAAATAATTTTCTTTTTTAATATTTTTAAAAAGATAAATCAAAATTAATTTTTTTTAATAGTTGATAAGTAAAATCAGTTGATATTAATTTAGATGCTTCTTCATCTTCATTTACTTACTTTTTGGGGGATGTAATTGTTATGGTATTCCTTTTAAAATAATTTGTAGCAATACAACATTAAGGTTTAAAGATCGAATAAAAGGGAAATTGATAGGAAATGACATTATTGAATTACTATTGTTAAAAAAAAGTTACTATTTGTGAATACATCTTCTTCTTTTTTTTCTAATTGAACTTTGAATGGTTCTCAACATGTTAACGAGCTTGACAAATTACTTTTATTTTTCTGATTTTCCTACTTTTAATAAAAATAAATAAATAAATAAATAAAAACATTCTTACCAAAACCATTCTACAAGATGAACGTTACATTTCTTTTGTTCAACTTTTGACTTCTTGGAGATGTGTGATTGTGTAAGTTATCATTAAATGTGATGTACTTTTTCTTTTTTATTTATCGTGAATTTCTTTTTATAGTCAAATAATAATAGTACATATTTTAATATGTATTTTTATTAATATATAATTATAATATTTTTATGTAAATTTTACTAGTTAATTTAATTTAATTAATTTTAAAAATTAATTAAATTAACTTTGGAAGAAAAGAGTAACATGATCGTTTAAAAAAAATATTGAGAGTGAATTAATTTTGTGAGAAGTTCCTTGGTTCTTTTCATAGAACATTTATTATTTTCCTTTTTTTTTGTTTTGTTGTTAGCAAAAGAAGAATTATTGAATGAACTTGCTGATTTGATTCTTTAATTATTGAAGATTATAGTAGGCCCCATTAATAAATTAAGAATCTGATCAGACTCAGTTTGGTTTTTTATACAACTAATACTCTACTAATTTAGGGAACAAGGTTTTCTTCCTGTGTTTGAAATCTAGCACCTAAATATTTTATGTTTGAGTTTCTTGATTCAGATAGCACGTTTATTTGGAAAGTAATATTTTCAATATAATTTTTTTCAGTCAAAGATCTGATTAAGATTGAAATAGTTATATCAATACATTTAGCACATAAATATACAATCATTTAATCTTTGTTTAAGAGCTTCATTATTTGTGTAGAATTGCATTTAAGTAATAATATATTTGATCAATTTATGTAGAGACATAGATAATTGAAATCATTTGAGTAAGGCAAGGCCCCTAATTGATAATTTTGTCAATCGTGTGCGACATCAATCTTCACAAAGAAAGTGTAAATCAAAATAAGGAATTGCTATAGCTTCATAAATGTATCACGAGTGATAAATGATGTAATCTTTACCATAAAAATAGAGTATAATAAAACCAAAAACAACCTAGGTTATTTTGTGAGAGCTATGACCCTTTTTCAACAAATACCATATATTGAATGCAATATTTCAAAAGCGTCATGATTAATAATTATTTTGATGATCGTGTAATTTTCAGGTTATCTTAATTACTTTTATGAGATTTGTGTCATTTTGCATCAAGGATAGGCATTTCTGTTTATCAATATTCTAGGACAAATGAAAATAATCATCTAGTGTTTTTTGTCTCTTGTGGAATTCAAACCTAAGACCTTAAAAAAAGATATGTTAAATCCGCCCGGACCCATGCATGTTGGAGAAAAGAAGTCTGAGACAAAAGAGTATTATTTGCAACAAATTTAAAGTGACAAAATAAATTGCAATCACAAATAAAATATGAATAAATATAACTTTATTGATAAATATGTAGATACAATTCCGTCCTTCCTTAATTCAAGGGTTGATAATGACATATTTATCAACCTAGCTAGGATGATTGATATTGATCTCTATGAACATTCCATGAATTTACCAAAAATTCGAAATGTCTCTTTAATAGAATATAATAACCTTTAGATAGAGTTAATGGTTAGAGTAACCTTCTTGAATTCTTATAGAATCGTTCCAACTAGAATTGAACACGTCTTGAAGAGTCACAAAAATTTTCAATAGCTACAAGTATTTCTAACATATGTAGTATATCGGTTTAGTAGCGAATTTATGTATTAACCACGTCAACTCATGATTTCTTCATAAAACTAAATATTTTATGTATATATTTTTAAAATGTACTATAATATATTTGTTAGCATCGTGTTACAAGAAGGCGCAATGATGTACAAAATTAACTATATATATATATATATATTAAATTATTTACCTAAAGATCAATATACATTTTTTTTATATATAATTCCTTTAGCTTACTAAAAATTTTAGATTTGCCTCGATATTGAGGAGGTGAAGAAGTAAGAAGTTGGCAAGTATGCATGTGAAGTTGGCATGAATGTCAACGAACGACAGTTTTGGGGTTGCTGTTGTTACGCGGTCACAGCTAAATTACAGTTTCTTAACGTCAATATTAATTAATTATATTCTACTCTAGGATTTATACAATGCCAATTTGTCTTCCTATGTTGAGTTTTTTTTTTTTTTAAATAAAAGCAGAATATGATTGGTCAAACAAAGATATAGCTAGCATGTGTCACGCATTCTATATAATCTAAATGTATATATGATTTGACTGTTTCAACTCAGCCAAAAACTAATATGTGTGTGAAGGGACCAAATTTTGCCAAAGGTGGTTTACGGTCACTTGTCTAATTTCCTTCGAGTCAAAGTGGGGTTGGCCTAAATCCATAATGTTTTCACACGCTCAAAATTGAAACTCAATACAAGATCATTTTGTTTTTTTTTACTCTTTTATGGAATAGTATTTTTATTAAAGTCTGATTAATTTGAATTTGTATCATATAAAATTTTATTCGAGAAGTTTAGCTGAAATCAATAATGTTTACACTCTAAAATTGGAAAGTGAACGAACACTCCATTGAAAATATATATATTTATTTACATTATATAATATTACGTTCTAAATTATTATATAAAGTAAAATATTTTTAATCTTGTGATATTAGACGTATCATATAAAAAATTAAAATTTAAAAATTACAAAAAGGAACAAAGATCATTTATTTAAGCAAATTAAAAAGAAAAGTAGATTAAATAAATTAAAACTAGAGGATTTGAGTTTCGTGTGAAACCAACCAATATCATGCTGGACTAATTAAATTTTAGTTGGCTCATAATTGCGCTAAATTTATGTCATGCTACCTACTTTGGGTATATAAGTCATGGGCCCTAGGGCTGATTAAATTTATTCTAAGACATTTTTGCTAAAGTAATCAATCATATGTGCTACTCTTTTCTACAAATGAAAGTGACACCATTATCTTTTCATTTTTGTACATCTAATAACATCATATTATAGTAATACAGAATAATGTCATGATATATTTCTAATTATAAACTTTAAAGTTCTTTCTTCTCCCTAAGCTTCTTATCGAATAAAAACGATATGTGTCATATGAAGAAGAAGGATGAAGTAGTTTTTTATATCTCATATTAATAAGAAGGATGGAGTATTTTTTTTTTTTAATCTTTTTTTAGTTTTCACTTATGATATAGTTTATTCAGGAGCCAAATTCACGTCGGAAAGTTTCACATTAAAGATAAAACGCTTCTTAACAAAGAAGATTTTGTGATTAGAAAAATTCGAGCTCGAGACGGTTAAGGCTTAAAAAATACTTCTCCCGTGCTCATGTTATCACTTTCCGTTTTACATGATTTTAAGAAATTATAAATAAAATAATCTATTTACTATGTTATCTTTTATTGATATTGATGGTTATTTAGATAAACTTCCAAAAAATATGTTTAATATTCATAGGGCATATAAATAGATACATACAAAGTAATTAATGAACTTTTGAAAAAAAAAAAATAAATTAAAACTTCTAAAAGAATTTCAAGCTTCCAAAGAGTATTTAATTGAAGGGATAAATTGAGAAAAAAATTTTAATGCGTAATAACTTAATAAGTAATTTGGGTAAGTAAGATGATCAATTAAAAGAATGTTGTCCATGTATATTAGCTTAGCAACTACATTAAAAGGGAGATAGAATTGCAATAGGTCTCTCCTTAACACATCATTTTAGTAGTTTTAATTAGAGCATACTTGTTTTCGGTTTACGGTTATAGCATGATTATTTAGTAGACGTTTGAATTCACAAAGTTTATTTATCAATATTAATTATTATGATATTCTTATACTATTTTAAACTCTTTGGATCTAGGAATTTAAGGTTTTGGGTGCTCTAAAGTGAAAATATAAAAAATATGTGTTAACAGTGAGATTCGAACCTTGGTATAACAACACTAAAAAAGTC